TTGGTAACTTTCTCCTTCCATTTTCTCCCATGTTACACGTGCATTAGGAGTGTTTTTTTCATATTTAAAATTATAAGATCATTTAGAGCATGTGTCTATTGGTGTTGTTCTTGTTGGCTCAAGTTTCAGTTTGAGCATCAAATCTTCGTGGCTTATTTTCATGATGATAGAGCATTTTTAAATGATTTTTGAAATTAGATTCGTAACCAACATGAAATGCTTGAGATTGGTGTTTTGTTTTGCAAGTTTTGATGATATTTTGGTCTGAACTCTGGCGTGTGCAACCAGAGAAGATGATTGGAGCTTTGCTCCGACGTCTAGGGTTTTTTGCTGAGTTGGATTCTGGCTGATGTGTCCTGCCACATCTTTAAATGATGTGATGCATTTCATGTTTTAGTTTTTGGATTCTGAGTTTTATTTTCAAATAAATCTGGGCCTAGCATATTGATATTGGCACCCCCTTATTTTTTGCCCACCACGCGCTTAGTTCATTTTCCTCCTTTCTTCAAATTTCTGATACACCCCCTTGTCATTTGAGTTTTATTTTATTTTATTTTTTCTTATTCTCTCATTTTGATTTAATTTTATTTGTTCCAAGCTTGATAAAAAAATTTAAAAACATGTTTAGGTATTTTAATGTCTTAAGAATTTTATCATGATTTTTATTCTATTTTTCTATTTTATTTGAACTTATTTGTGAAGTTGCTTTTACATGTTTACCCTTGGATTAGGGTTTGTGGTTTGATGATTTTTGAGACACCTCTTGAGATAATTTTTCACCATATTTTGATACATGATTGCTTGATGTTTAAGTGGTTTGTTGTGCCTTGATTGTGCTTTTTTTATTACTTTCCACGTGATTTAATTTGAGCCTCGATTCATGCTCGATTGTTGAACATCCTTGTGCTTGTTGATTTTATTTGATGACGCACTTGTGAAATTATTTTTAGGATCATTTTCTCACATTTTATTAGATGTTTTAGCATGAGATAGAGCCTTGTGTCCATATTTGTTTGATTGTCTAAGTGTTTTGGCTTGATGTGTCTTTCTGGTGTTGCTTTGAGATGAAGCAGACTTACTTTTAACCTAGTTCTTGAACTTGTGTTCTTGTATGAATCCATTTGATGTTTGATGATTTTAATTGACTTGAAAGACTATGTTTAAGCTTTTTATCTCTTTTGACATTGTGTATTTCTTGCCTTTTGAACTCCTTTGCTTGTATATGAATGTTTGAATCCTTTTGAGGTTGATAAGGGATGATGCATGCCTAGTTCTTTGCTCGTGTTTTGAGGATGATTCATATGGAAATTATTTGATATATTGGTGTTGAATATACATTAAAATTCTTATTTTTGCTCCTGAACTCCCATGTTCACATGCTATAATTGCATAAGTTTGACCATTGTGGCTTTGATTTCATGAGATAAATGTTTACATATGCCTAATCTTTGCTTTGATTCTTGATGAATACTCTTGTACATCTTTTCTCATCCCTAAAATGTATTGGCCATGAGGTGGTTTAGGTTCTGACCTTGATTTTTTTTTCATCTTTCTTGACTCACTTTATCTTAGTTTGTCCATTATTGATATGTGGTTAACTTTTTAAGGCATGTATACTTATACACCTTAGGTTTGTCTTTGCCTAATTGCTTGAGTTTGTTGTGTGACTTCTTTCGACATGTTTAGATGACTTGAATGTGTATGAGTATTCACTTGTATGCCTCTTGTTTGTTTTGATTCAAGTTTGAAACATATTTTGCCTTGCTTACTTGCTTGTTTCTTCCTTATTGGTTTGATTGAGTCTATTTTGCTTTGGTTGCTTGAAATGATTTCTTAATGATCCTTTCCTTCCATACTTGATGAATTCCTCTTAACTTCTTCATACTTTACATCTCATTTCCCCCCTTGGTGGGCATTACGTATCCGTCTCCCACATTACAATGTAATATTCTAGTTCTTTTGCTTTTATTGCTTGCTTGTTTGTTAAGAAAGATAAAATAAAATAGGTTAAAACATCTTTTCAAAATAAAGAACAAATAAATCTTGATCCAACGTCAAGTCATTTTCCAAAATCATTAAATTTCCTTAGGGTTTCTCTTCTCATCTCTTTCTCATCTCATATCTCTTATCTTCTCTTAGCTCCTCCATCAAACTCCAAATTAACCTTGTATGTATTTCACCCTTGTAAGTCGATTGCATTCTGCATCGCCATCAACCTACCTTGTTCTATTCACCACCCATTTTTTTCATACATTTTCTCTCTTTCTTTAGTCTCCTTGAGTCTAAAACCCTTGGTCTAGCACCAAGTTCCTTTTTAAAATTTTTTATCTCTTAATAAACTTGGATGGTTGTGGAGTGGTTAGGCGAAGAACTTCTCCTATCCCGAGTGCTTGACATTACCTTTAAGTTTCACTGTCATAAAACACTTACCATTCAAAATCTAAACACTTTAAATAAGAGAATAAGCATCTCTTTCTATGGAACTAAAGAGAGAGGATTAGGTGAAGACTTTTTCCTCTCCGAGTATTAGGATACTCACTTTAGAGTGTGCGATCTCGATACTTATCTTTCAATATGAACACGTGACTATATTCGCCACACCATTTTCACAATAAATCTTTTAAGATAAAGAATTTGGTACTACCCGCAAGGGGTTACTATACGACGACTTATCTCACCCTTAAAATCAACCTTCAACACATCAAGTGTGGCATCTTTTCTTGATGGCGAAAACTAATCCTTTTCAAAAAGGGCATGTTACGTCTGTTCTACCGCAATATAGGTAACGCATAAGACTCCATGAGCGAACTGCAAAACACCTAACTGCTAAAATGCGAATGATAGCATCGTCCATAAAAAACACCAACAAGCCATAATCTGAACTACGAACGCTCTGATTCTTCACTTATTTTAAGTGAAGATACATAGGCATAAGGGCCCCAATCCTTGGCGAGCACCCTTCCATTTTCTTCATCCGTAGTCCTCCGAACTGCGTTGACTCTGACTTTCCCATTACACGAGGGAATACGTAGGCATAGGACTGCAAAGTTCTATTGAGTCTCCTTTTTGTTTCTCACTTTTTCTTTTCCTTTTTCCTTCATTCTTTTCTTCATTTTTGTTTCTAAATCCCTCTATTTCCCTCTTAGAGAACTTTTAGAAAGCAATCCTTTAGAAAACATCCTCACACATGAGATAAGTAAATGGTTCCCATCGAGTACGATGGATGTGGGGGGTGCTAATACCTTCCCTTCACATAACCAGCTTCCGAACCCATTCATTTGGTTCCGAGAGCATCTTATCCTTTTCTCTTGGGTTTTTCTCGATGTTTTCCCTACCCCTTTTGGGATAAATAAAGTTTGATGGTGACTCTCCTGTTTTCCTTTCCGCATCTCTCGTCGTTGCATTTTTTGAGTAGCAACACAATGTATAGGGTTTAACAGTGCAGATGTTGTGGATGATAATAATGATGAAGCTGCAGGAGATGATGATGGTGTGCATGATAAGAATGATGAAGGTGCAGGAGATAGTAATGTTGATGATGCTGGAGCAGATAGCATGGATGTTGATTATGTTACAAGTGAGAGCAGTTTTGAGGATAGTGAGTTCCGTTTTAGTGAAGACTCATATGTGAGTGAGATGAACTGGACTAAGGTTCTTCCTCAAGAGACATTAGGTGAGGTTGTTAGTTGCCAAAAGAATGTAGATTAGGCTAAGAGGGTCCATGATGAAAGTGAGGACTCAGACCATTTATATACACCCCTTGGAAGTGATGATGATGAGGGACTGAAGTTTCCTACATATAAATCTGGTGGGGGATGAAATTTTAACTAGGCATGATCTTTACTAACAAAGAAGTCACTAGGGATGCAATCAAGGACTATGGAATGGAAAATCAAAAGAATGTATTCATTAATAAAAATGATTCCAAAAGGGTTATGGTGAAATACAATGATGGATGTAAGTTCTATATTAGATTTAGTAAAAGAATTTATAACCAATTTTGGCAAGTTGTGAGTTTAATTGAAGAACATACATGTTACAAGACTGCTAACAATAAAAGTGCAAAGACCAAGTGGCTTTCCAAAAGGTTTACCAACACTCTTAGACATAGTCCTCATATGAAACCAGCATGTCTCATAGCTGAAGCAGTTGAGAAATAGGGAGTGAAACTATCCCATGACCTGGTATATATGGCTAAAAGGAAAGAAATGAAGTTGGTCCAAGGGGATGGTATTGAGAAATTCTCTCATTTGAGATCTTATGGATAAGAATATTGAAATCAAACCCTAATAGTATTGTTGTAATACAATGTGGTGATATTAATGGCAACCATGATTTGAAAGAATTTATGTGTGTTTAGAAGCTTGCAAGGCATGTTTTGCAAAGACTTGTAGGCTACTAATTGGGTTAGATGCATGCTTCTTAAAAGAAGATTATGGTGGAAAGTTAATGTCAGCAATAGGGAGGGATGGAAAGAACCATATTTTTCTAATAGCATAAGTTGTAGTAGAGGCTGAAACAAAAGAATCATGGCAATGGTTTCTAGACCTTCTTCTACATGATTTGGAAGCTTACAATTAGAGGTCTTATTCATTTATATCAGATCAACAAAAGATAATTTTTTACAGTTACATTTGATTTTAAACTTACATTTTTATCAATTGTCAATTGTTTTTACACTTCCATTTTTATCAATTGTCATTTGATTCTACACTTACAGGGACTTGTTCCAGCTGTTCAAGGCATTAATGCCATATAGAGTGTAGATTGTGTGTTAAGCATTTGTATGGTAACTAGAAGAAGAGACACCCTGGGTTGGAATTCAAGGAAGTGCTTTGGACAGCTGCTAGGGCAACAACAGTTCCTACTTGGGAAAAGGAAATGCTGGAAATGAAGGCAATGAAAGAAGATGCGTGGAAAGATTTGATGGAAGTCCCTGCTAGCCATTGGAGTATATCACACTTCAACACTTATTCAAAGTGTGATTTACAAGTAACAACATGTGTGAAGCATTCAATAGGGAAATTCTGGAGCATATGGAGAAGCCTATTATCACCCTATTGGAAGGCATTAAACATTACATCACCAAGAGGATTGCAAGTCAGAAGGAATTTCTACAGGGCTACAAAGGATCCATATGCCCTAAAATTCAGTTGGTACTTAAGAAGAATAAGAAGCAAGCACAAGGGTGGAGTCCTACATGGCATGGTGATGATGACCTATCCATATTCGATGTCAACAATGGCATTGATGCTTATTGTGTTTATTTGAAGAAGGAAACTTGCTCATGTAGGAAGTGGGAATTGAGTGGTATACCTTACTGCCATGTCATTGCATGCATAAGGACCACCAAAAAACATCATAAAGATTATGTTGCTGCATATTATAGGTTCGACTTATGTACTATATTTATTTACTTCTTACGTTGAATATTAATGTATGAATTGTTAATTGTTATGGTTGGATTTTGTTTTAAATAGGAAATCAACATTTATGGAAACTTACTTCCACATTGTGTTTCCAATCAATGGACCACAATTGTGACTTGTAGATGATCAGAGTAAAGTAGCACCACCTGTTATGTGAAGAGCTATTGGAAGGCCAAAAAATAGAGAAATAAAACAAATGATGAACCTAGAAATCCCTACATACTTCCAAGGAGGGTTTCAATTGTCCCATGTGCAAAATGTGGTTCTATGGGGCATGATCAGTGGTTTTTATACGTTATTTTACCATTAGTTTTAGTTAATCGTCTTATATGTTTAGTTGCATTTTATTTCCTTTTATTTCATTTTATGCGTTGGTTTGGTATTTCTATTATTTTTAGGTTCAGGTAAACAATCAAGAAGAACCAGAGCAAAAACCAGGAATAACAACAGGAATTTGGAAGAGTTTTTGAAGGGAAATAGTGGCCTGACACGGCCACCCGTGTCACCTGACACGGCCACCCGTGTCACCTGACACGGCCCGTGTCACCTGACACGGCCCGTGTCAGGAGGATGCCAAGAGAATGAAAGTTGAGTGTTAGACAATGGGCTGACACGGACCGTGTCAGCAAGTCTGGAGCAGGAAGTGTTTTGATCAGGCAGCCAGGGGGCCAACACGGCCGCCCCTGTCAGCTGACACGACCCGTGTTGGCTGAAGCACTTCATCTTCCAATTTTCTTATTTTTGTGACCTTTGTGATCCCTGAGGGTATTTTGGGTATTTTCCTATTACTGTGTTAGACCTGGGAGTATTTAAGACATATTTTGAGAAGGAAAAAGGGACTTTTTGGACAGAGAAGAATTACACGATCAAGAATGGAGATCAAGGTGATTGGGGAACTGAAGGTTTTCATGAGCGGAAGCAATTGAAGATAAAAAAAATCCTATTATCTTGTAATGTCTAGTTTTTACTTTGTATTTTCTTTGAATATTATGAGTAGCTAAATTCCCCAATGTTAGGGGGAGTCCCTGATTTGAATCTGTAATGACTCTGATATTAGTGTTGCAATAACAATTCTTTATTTTTCATAATTGATTTGATCTCTAGTTATTCTTAATGCTTGCCCTGTCGGACCAACAGGGTTTGATTTTCGATTAACGATTAGGCTGGACCGTCGTTGTTAATACTTTGCTTTGGATCATTCTGTAGTAAATATCACCTAGGACTAGGGATACCCTATAGGAACCGGAATATTCTTGATAATTGATTTCTTAATTTCATTGGTAATTCTCTATGGACATAGGAATTAGGATGGATGGTTAAAGGTTTTCTCACTAAGGACTTAGGAGTAAACATTCTAAAGAATCGGTAATTAGTTAGTTACGATAAGTTGTTGCAGTGTTAATTCAGAGTTGTTACTGAGTCGATTCACACACTTCCCTTAGCATGTTACTCATATTTGTTGAAACCACTTAGTCACTTTCCCTCTTTTACTTGCAAATATTTTTATAATTAAACCAAACAATTTCAAAACCCCAAGTGCTTTTGTTCAACTGAATTATTATATAGCTTTTATTTTCCATGCAGTCCTCGAGATTGATACTCGGGGAATTTCCCTCGTATTACTACATTGACAAAATATTACACTTGCTATTTTTCTGATCATGTTTTTGGCACCGTTGCCGAGGAATGTCGAAATATAAGTTAATTGTAATTCAATTGAAATTTTGTTGCTCTGCGACCAAAATTTTATTTTCAGTTTTTTATTATTATTATTGTTTGCATTCTATTACTACTAATCTACGTCTAACATTTTTATGCGATGAGAATCCTCCGCTAATTTTTCTTTTGACGCAGAGATCGAAATAACTCTACACGCAAAGCACATATAAGCAAGACTGGCAAGTTCAGAAGCAGAACCTTCAGCACCAGCACCAGAAGAAGAAAGAGTCCATGTTCATTCAGAGCATTCCGACTCAGGTTCAGACTCAGATAGAGATATTGTGACTATGGCTGGAGTTTCACCAGCAAAGAGACTACTTGGTGATTACGGTGGAGCTAATGCACCGGCTGGTAGGTTAACAATTGTAAACTAACCGGTGAATGTGGCAAATTTTCAGTTGCATCCGAACAATATCACCCAACTTGAGAGGAAACCTTTCACCAGAAAGGTTAATGAAGATGCCAACAAACATCTGCAAAGATTTTTTATTATGAGCATTACCGTCAAGATAGATGGGCACACTGATGAAGCAAATAAATTAAGAATGTTTTCGTTCACTCTCTCTGAAGATGCTGAAGAGTGGTTTTACTCGTTACCCGCAGGAAGTATTGCTACTTAGGAAGAAATGGAGAAGACCTTTCTTAATGAGTATTTTCCCTCCTCTGTGTATATTCGTAAAAGATATGATATCATGAATTTTAAACAAAAGGAGGGAGAATCACTGGGAGATGCGTATAAAAGGTTCAAACGATTATTGGTTGCATGTCCTACTCATAACATGGATCAGACTGAACAGATGCAGATGTTTGTGAATGGTCTCAAGATGAAGACTAAGCATCTAATTGATACGAAAGCCGGTGGCTCATCAAAATTTACAACAACCACTGGTATTAGGAAGATCATCGAAGACATTGCTGCAAATGAGCATTTAGAACTGTATGACCGTAGTGTGAGTAAACCAGAAGGAACGATTGATTTGAAGACGGCTACTCAAGTTGTGAAAATGGAAGATTAAATCAAAGATGAAGTAGAAAGAAGGCTTAAAGCAATGAATGTAAGTACTCAAACTGTGGCTCAAGTTCAACCTATCCAATCTATGAGTTGTGAGATTTGCAGTGGACCCCATTTTACTGCATATTGCGTTGCAACTGCTAAACAAATTGAACAGATAAAGTTTTTGAAGTAAAATAATCCCTATTCTCATACTTATAATCCAAGAATCATCCTAACTTCTCCTAGAAAGATCAGAATCAACCTCAATATCAACAGCAGCAACAGGCTCCTCAGAAAGCAGAATGGGAAATAGCTATTGAAAAGATGGTAGCTCACAATATTCAATTCCAAGAAGAGACACGGATTAATCAAAGGAACACCACAGCTGCTATAAAAAATCTTAAGGTTCAGATGAGACAAATAGCCCAACAACTCTCCACGCGTACTCAAGGAACCCTCCCGAGCACGACAGTACCAAATCCAAAAAATCATGAGAATGTTAATACTGTCACAACAAGAAGTCAGAGAGTCGTGGAAGAAGAGGAAGAAAAAGAAACAAATGATTATCAGTGTATAGAGGTTGAGCTTGAAGTGAGAGAAAACAGGAAAGAATCGGAAAAAGATGTACCACCCGTAAAGCCCACTGAAGAGAAAAACAAAGAGGAGGTTAAACCAAAAATCAAGCTACCTTACCCTCAGAGAGTTACAAAGAATGATCAGAAGTAGAAAGACTTTGGAAAATTCAGCACGATGTTTAAGAAGTTAGAGATCAAAATGACGTTCTTTGAAGCACTCGAGCAAATGCCTTTGTACAAGAAATTCATGAAAGAGGTAATGGAGAAAAAGAGACCAATGGATGAAGATTGCTTGTAAACTAGTGGTACATTAGGGTATCTAATGTTTTTGTGTGTGGTTGGTTTTTTATTTGTAACAGGTGCATGTATCATTTCTTGAGTGTAGTTTGGCATTGAGTTGCTATCTAACAAAATGAGAGTTTTCATTATACTCCAAGGAGGACTTTGGCAGAATCAAGTATCAACGGTCCGTAAGGCAGAGTTGGAAGTTATCCTTTTTTGATGTCATTAGAGAAAGATTGCTTGTAGATAAAGTTGGGAGTTGTCCAATATACACTCAATTAAGGGCGATTGCTCACACAATAAATCAGTGGGATCAGGGGGATCGCCACACACAAATACTTGGAGTAGATTATTTTGGATAGAGAGGTTATTGGATCAAGATCTTAAGGGATCTTGTATTGTGTTAGCAGTTTAGTGTCTGCATCATCAGAGGGAATTATTGTATGATAGTTCTTTGTAATCAAAACACTATAATTATTTTATCATCATAGTAGAAGACCGTGATTATATTCCGACGACATCATCCATTGAAGAATGCATGTAGGCAAAGCGGGAACGTAAGCCGAAGCACTTTATATCTCTGTGTATTTTTTCCTTTCCGTATCATTTTACTTTACAAGCATTCATTTATTCATACTTAATGTTGTATATTTGCAAGATTGCATTAATTATATATCATATAGATTAGACCTTGTTTATATCGATTTAATGTATAAGCTTAGGTTTGTGGTGTATATATCTTAAGGAATTATCATGAAGTCAATTATGCATTGTTAAGAACATCTAAGTAATGTGTTTTTAAATCGTTTTGTTTAAAAACAGTTTTAGTTGTCATGTAAGTGATTTGCACTAGAAACAATCAATGTCATAGTAGTCAATCTACAAGGCAAATTGCAACCAACTCCTCCTTTTATGAAAGAACCAAACACGTTGAGTTTAATTGTCACCTGATCATAAAAAAATTGTAGCAAAACTTATTTCTTCTCTTGCGAATTTCTTCTTCTCAACCACTAATATACCTTTTGACTAAGGCTCTTGATTCCACTCCGTTTCATTCTTTAATTTTCAAATTTGGTCTCTTTAATATATAGAACCCAATTTGATGGAGTGTTAGAAGTATAGTTGTTAGTTAATTATATTTCAGTTAGTTAGTCAATTACTATTATTAATAAACATGTTAGTGAGCTTCTTTGTAGTATAATGGTATTTAAGGATCATATACAACTCCATGGTTTTATTCAACATTATGAGATGAATATACAAAATTCAGTTTCTTTCCAATTTTCATTCTCTATGAGAGTAACATGACATTGTTTTTAATATTATTAGACTGCACCCTTTTATTTATTTATTAAAATAAAGATATCCTCAACGCAAAACCTTTTAAAACAATTGAGATTTATTTAAAGAGCTGACATGTGAACCCTCTATTTTAATTTAGCCTCTCCATGTTATCCCCACGAGTGTCCTAAAACTTTGAATACAAATAACCAATTTAAATGTAATATATGTTTTATTTTATTTTTTTCAGGAAAAATTAGGTGG